ATTCCCAAACTAATTTGCATTCATTTTATGTAGTATTTTAAGGGTGAAGATTATATTCATTTGTTCACTCAGTAAGTAGTAATTGAGTGCCTACTGCAGTGTTCAGTGAATAAAACTATAATGCTGCCGTCAAGGAGCTTATATTCAAGTTATATGACTTATTTTCCAGTTAATTCCAAAAATAGCCTCTCTTTAAAAAGTGTAGTTATGGCTTTGAGTGTAGCAATAGAGTATCTTTAAAGTAAAGCAATCTTTTCTAATAACAGAATTATAGCTAACTTTACTGACACCTAGTTTCATTGGAAAATGACTAAACCAGTTGAGTTTTGCTCATTTTAGTTTTTTTTTCATTAATTCCACTTTATAAGTGAAGACACTTCTAAACGGTTGAATGTGGGTTGATTTATTTTAGAATTGTGAAACATGGAAGACAGTAGTACAGACTCAGAGCAAGACGAGGAAAAGAAGAAAGATGAAAAGGATCAAGAAAATCCCATTTATGCCATAGCGCCCACAACTAACTTCCGAGATGAACGATCTGTTGATTTATCTACAACTCCGGCTTTCCTTTTTCTGCATGAGGTGATTTCTTTTTCTATATTGCTATAGTAAGACCTGAATTATTATCTACTTAAAAATTCAGATGAAGCTAATATCAGATCAAAATAATTTATTGCACATGTTTTGTAGGCACTTGAACCACTTTTAAACAAAGTTTTCCCTACCCTCTCTTCCAAAGTCTTGTCTTATAATCCTGGACCAATGTAGTAGAGTTGATTTTGATAGTTTTATTATATGATAAATATTTGCATACGTGCAGCCCGGTTATTCTGTTTCATGGGTTGATAAATTAGGTAAAAGAGGATATTTCTTTCATCATATACTTTATCTCCTTCCATAAAATTAGGATAAAAGATTTTGTCAGGTAATGATAGAGAGAATATACATTTACCACTAAAGATAGTTACAGTGGAGTGAGCACTGACATTTTCTATTTCCCATGATGAGAACAGCAAAAAGAGGACTATGATAAGTTATGTAGACTCAGTCTCTGATTTTGGAAGAGCAAGAAGATTGTGTAAGACATGCCTATTTTTTTCTTTAAATAATAACTAATCTCATCTCAATTCTTTCCCTGCTCTATGTGGGAGCTGTTCTTCATGATACCTTTAATCTTAATAATTTCAAATAATCAGAGTTCTTTATTTCTGCTAAAAATCTATCATATGTCTAACTTTGCAATAAAATTTTGACTTCTATATCACTCTCCTTCATAATTTCAAATCAAAATAGCTTAGAGTTTAATTATTTATTTCCACCAAATTTATACTGCTAATAAGAAAATATTTAAGTTTTTAAGCCAATGATAAAAATTTTCTTTCTAAAGTCCTAGGAGAACTTAGAACACCTCATAGTGTATATTGATTTTAAATGGAACAATTTATTAAATCTTTTTTGATCTCGCAACACACATGAATGCAAATATTATGGTTATTAATCATGGCTGTGGCCAGCCCCTGATAAAGTGGATTTATGAGAGCCTTCAATTATAGCTTCAAATAACTGTCTTACCTACCCTTTCAAATTGTTAATTTTATTACCGATAACAACATTGGTGTCAACATTGGTAATCTTATTGCATGAGAACTGTTCCTCTAGCCAGCAAAATCTGGCAGAACCCCACATTGACATAGACAACTTTCACGACCCCTTTCATTTTCAGAAGAAATGCTACTAAGATATTGTTATGAATTGACATCTATATAGCTTTACTTTCTGATTCTTTTAACATTCCTTCAAGCATTATGAGTCTTTTAAGTTTTTTTTATCCCTATTTTAATAAAGTTGCCCTCCTTCAGTTGACTAAACAGCAGCTGTGGTCACAGAACACTAACAGTTCCGGTGATAACTGAAGAAAGCAGTCAGAAATCCACTTCCAGAGGTCCAGGTGTTTGGCATCACATTGAAACTACCAGAAGCTGCTTGCAGCATTTATATTATTAGTGCTGATCTCACGACTGGATCAGCACTACTGAGATGAAAAGATGGATGTCAAGTTGTCATTTAATATTGCCTGGAGGGTGTGTTCAGCATGGTATTCATAGCCCTCTTCAATTTGGGCCCAAACTACTAAACATCTGCTTAGATCCTCATGTTTTTCTGTGCATGCTGTTCCCCTTAGCAGAGACTCTCCCCTTTTCAGAAGGAAACTGGTCAATATCCTGAATGCATGATGCGAGGTCATGGCTGTGCATAAACCTGCCAAATCACACTGCCTCTTAAAAGACTATGCCATTCTAACTGAAAGACCAACAACAACAAGAAAAAAACTTTCATGGGCCACTCTTTGAAGCCCCTAAGATTAGAAGCCCTGGTAGCATAGTGCCGAAGGCACTTGACTGCTAACCAGAAGACTGGTGGGTCAAACCCACCAGCCACTCCTCAGAAGGAAGGTTGGGCAACCTACTTCCGTAGTGATACTTCCACTTCCTCGGAAACCCAAGGAAGGGTCTCTCTGAGTCAGATCCGACTCAATAGCATATAACAACAACAACAGATTAGATTAGATTAGATTAGATTAGATTAGATTCCTAATCTTTCAGAATTTGGCTTGAGTCCCATGTCCTTAGGGAAACACTGCCTGAGTAGTCATTTTTCCCACCTCTTAACTCTTCCAGCATTTGTAGGCAGTATCGGTCACTTGGTATTTAGTCATTACCACCCACTGCTATCAAGTTGATTCCAACTCATAGCAACCCACGTAGGGTTTCCAAGGCTGTAAATCTTTACAGAACTGGACAGCTTTGTCTTTCTCCTGTAGAGCAGCTAGTGGGTTCCAGCCACCGACCTTTTGGTTAGCAGCCCAATGTCTTAACCACAGTACCACCAGAGCGCCTTACTTAATCATTAGCAGATATTTATTGAATACTTCTCATCACAAAATATTTTGCATAGAAAATTTAGAATTCTCCACTGATGCTATGATCACATTACTCAATAATATCTAACAGGGCGAACACTATGTGATGTTCATTCATACTTTGGGGTGACTGTGGTGCTTGAGAACTGAAATCACAGGGCTTACATCACCGGACTGTATGGGTTAATGCTGGAC